GTCACGAAAAGTATTTCGAAGAAACAACTGCAGACATTCATCAACAACTGCCACCTACGCTCAGTCGATAAGGACACTGAAGATCAGATTGATGGTGAGAATAGTAAGAATAAGCAAGAAGGAACTCCCTCTGGTTGGCTGGTTGGCTAGTTGGCTGGCTGGCAACGAACCAATCATGAACCCATCACCCAACAAATATGCAGAGGAAGGTGGAGGTGGATTGTATTGGGCATAAACTAAGAAGACCGTTTGGGGATGCCACGCACCGGGCCGAGCACTCGAGTGGAATCGAAAGGGGAAACGACTAGTTGGGCGTCGGAGATGAGGGTGACATGGAGGTGGTCATGTGAGAAGGAAATGAAAGCCTGTGGGCAATCGTGGAGCCAGGTCAAGAATGCTGAAGAGAAGAGAGTGAAATGGAGACGTGCTACTGAAGCCCTATGTTCCACTAGGAGCCCAAGGGACAAGCAACAATAATAATATCTGTTGACGAAAAAAACCTCAAGGTGCTCATAACTACCCGCCTAATTCAAACGCACGACTGGCGCCGGAACAGCCAACCGAAAAAGCAAATGCATTGCGCCTAAACGTGCAACCAAAACGACAGGATTGGCGGACAACACAGTTAATGGCGACGGAAGTGTAGAGCCATAACTTGACAGACGAAATTTAACATCATTCTCCGCCATATCAGTCCGAAATTCCTCATCATACAGTTCCACCGGGAAGTGAAAACAGTATACTACTATTCTACTGGCGCTTCCTTTCCATTCACCCACGGCTTTATTAACGCTGAACCGCTTATCTTGATGATAGACTAGTTACTCTGTATTAAAAATTGGTGCACAGTATCAGCATTATCTGATCACATAAAATAAGCAATCCTACGTGTATGGAAATCAGATACGTCGTACAGCCAAATTCACCAACCTGACCAGAGTTAGAAAAGTCGGGGATGTGGAGAACACGTGGATATGTGCACCAAATTTATCATATGGTGGGCAATTTTAGTTCGACTACCTGCTGTTCCGTGCGTGTTCGGAGTCATAAAGCCGGCGACGCTAGTCATTGATCCCAACCTCAATGCTGTCACAGTTTAGCTCTTTCATTACTCTTATCCCCATCTACGAATAAACACTCACACCCACCATTCTTGTAATGTGCTAGGAGTCTTTACGTCGTGCAGTAGTACAAGCCCCTTCGGCGTAGTAAATCGGGTCAGACTATGGCATGAGTGGAGGCATGATGGTGCGATAAATGCTACTGGATGATGGAGTCAACAGTATATGCACGGTCTTAGCGAGCTGACAGTAGGCTGGAAACATCGCATAAATTTATTTACGCCTGCAAAACAGGGTAAGTGCCAGCATGTTCACGAATAAATAAAAATATACCTATACGCACATACATTACGGACTAACTGGTTGTGAAGCAGTACTTCATATGTTTCCCACTTCATAAGTTGCGGTTGACTGTTTGTTTTGAAACCACTTTAAAGGCTTATAACTCCTCATTTTCGGTTCTTCGCGCTAGCAGGTTTTTGACAGGTTCACCTGTTTCATGGAATAAGCGCAGCGAGAGGATATCTTTAGTGGGTTGATATGGGTTCAACAGTCGCTCAAGCTCTTTTCAACATTCAGGTGGAATGCATTCCCGGGGGTCGTCGTGTAGTTTTGCTATTTGCACAGTAGCAACACCATCCGGGCGAGACATCACATCCCTAAAGGAGGTGAATCGTGGTTACAGGCGCGTCAACAGTAAAGTAGTCATAGTATGGAGGGAGAGAGAAGCTCTGTGGGCAGCTTCTAGAGGGTACCCTTACAGTTATGATATTCAATACTCCATGAAACCTGCTTACTACACTTTTCGACTGCTGGAGTGTGTAGACAGTGGAATACCATTTTGTAACCACTACCGGAAAACCCACTACCGACATAAGCAGTTGCTGAGGCGATGTCACAGCATAATACTAAGTTCGGCGTGTTGTGATAAAGAGCGGGTGCGTTGATGAATTGCTTTAATCCATAGACGTCTACGACAGGAAGCGTGTCATCGAAGCACTGTAGACCATTCAGGGAGACTGAAGTCTCCAGCGATCAATTAAAAATTCTCATTTTATGGGGAGGCATGGGCAAATGACTTAGGTAGGAGTGTATCCGTCCACGCCATTGAGCATAATACTTTGTATTCACAACCTGTGAGAACCTCGTATCTGTCACCACGTAAGGTGACCCGCAGTGAGTCACCCACTGAGTTTAATACGTTGCCCTCTGTTTTACTTGCGGTAAGTTGATCACATACAAAATGGGTCAGCCACCGTCGGACTTATAGCTTCGAGTAGCACGACGTGCAACTTCACCTTTCTCAAAACGTGATCTCCAAACCGTCCGTTTGGAATACCCCATCCGGTAGTTTCTGTAGCTACTATATCCGAGTGAAGTATGTATCATGAATGATGTACTTCCACGGAGTACTTTTGCGCTTCTACTTTCAGTTTGGCCCGCTTCATGCTTTCTTACCCATTTTTCAGTTCCAACTGATCAGTTCCTCATTCACGTGAGGTCCTAGTAGTCGCAGTTACCATGCCATCAACACTTCACAAAGAACGCATAAGATTCAGGGTCACGGCTGTACCACCCGCCTTGTATCCAGGGGCACCAAGCGGTTCAAATAGTGGCCGAATAATTCTCAATTTCTAGCTGTACTTGCTTCTGTCTGTTGAAAAATGATGTTGGCGTTTGAATATTGTTTTTTGCTTGTGAAACAAGAGCATTCTATCTACAAACCCATTCTTTGTGTTCTCTAATTGACGAGTTCTAATGTAAAGAATATTAAGGAACGCAACAACGAATTCATGCTACCAGAATTATCATACGAATTGGTTCACCTTCATGCGACCCAAGCTATACGAAGAGAATATATATTATTGTCGTGTCTTGTTCCAAGTTTCATGGTGAGAATTCACGATTTTGCTGAACATTGCGACTGCGAGCCAAACAGCTGCATGTTGGGGCTCCAGTTTGGATATGTGGTAGGTTTGTCTGGGCGCGCGCTCCTGTAGCACTGATGTGTTTTGCCTCATTTCCGCTCTTCTTGGAATCAGCCACATATACACCTATCAAGTTGGAGATTTCACTTCCGAAACCAGCGGTTCTGCAGGAATCTGTCTGCCGAACGCACAATCCCCAATGGGTAGCTTCCATCACTCTCAAAAACGAACAACCGTGTGGTGGGCCTAGCCGTCCTGATCGGCTGTTACAACTCGAGATACTAAGTCCGTGGCACCATCCATCCCGATCGATCACAGATCTTGGACTTGTGGGGGGGGCTTTAGGAGTCCTTCATAGTCGTACAACTAGGAAGTGGAAGGTAAGGTCGATGACTTGCTAGAAGTGTCACAGATTTTCCGCTTTTTGCTCGACCTAAGCTTACTTGTTTTGCTTTTTCGCCCACTGACCCATGGAAGTGAGTAGCAACAGTGTTTTAGCTTAATGTGGCCCTCGAAATATCTCAAGCAAAACCGCACCTCGGTTATTGACCGCCCCTTTCTCGGTAGCAAACACGGCCGGGAATAAGAGGTGTAAGGACCGCGGGTAGGCCTCCGTAGGACTGTCACGATAACCAGTTCAAGAAAGAAGTTGAATCCTTGTCCCAAGCAACTCTCAGAACCTATCTACTCTCGTTCGTCGAAGGGCACATCCTGCTGGCACATAGAGCTCAAACCCTAGCCTGCTCGTAAAAGCCGCTGCAGGGAGGCGACAGAAAAAGAAAAAGACAGCCCCTGACTAGACTATCTGGCTCTTGCGATGAATTGCACACATGTGGTCTTACTGTAGCCAAAGGGGAGTAGCTTTTGAGCACGGTATATGTAGCCAGTGGGCACACTGTCAGGCTGATGGGTATATACCAAACCAATATTGCACTTCAGTGTGCGTCGCCCATATACGTGGTTCTTGTATATCTACCCACATTGCTGCGCAAGAAGGCTTTCATTTACAGGCTCGATTAGGTAGGTCGTGGTCACTCAAGTGCCAGCGCCCGCACAAACCCCTACCACATGTGAGAGTTCAAAAAAGAAGTGTCAATATTGTCCCACAGACTGTCACGTCTGTAAGTGGTGCGAAAATAGCCCAAGGGGGACCGGACTTAGGGTCAACTGCGCCAACCTTAAGTCCTGAAGTCGCTCGAACAACTGTCCCTGCAATGTTAGGTGAAAAATGGGTTGCAAGAGAAAAGGAGGAGCAGCTTCCCCATAAAAATACTCGCAGGACATGACAACCGAGACGTCGAATACGGGTAGAACACCGTCATCTTATCTGACGGAATCCGTTTCGGGCCACCTACAGATTTCGGTGTCCATAGAACACCACCGATGCTCTGGCTTCTTGGATTTTTAATTCTGCGGAGGTTTCAGCGGTCTCCCACTGGCATTTAGGACTCTGTTTAGGGTGGGGTCCCCATTTAAGAGGCCTGTGCTTCATATACGAAGCAGAAGCATCAGACCACCTCTAGAGACTAGTGACTGCGGCAAGAAAACTAATATGCATACAATATAAGAAGCATCTGAATGGACTCATTCACCTTTCACTTTATGGATCTAGACCAGAAAGTCACTTGGTGATGGCATACTGAATTCGAAATGATGAATTTCGAGTTGGAAGTGTTCGTCAACTGTGGAACCTGTTATCTACTGTGACATCGGAGTTTTAAACTAGATACAACTCATCCCCATCTAAGAATTCTGTCGTGGCACTCAGATGCATTCTGGAGTGCATGGTAATGTAACTTACTGCTGACACTTTCAAAGCGAGAACGAATATGTACGATATAACCAGTCGCAAGGATTATTGTAAGTTGTTGGTCTGCTACACATATACCAAAAAACTACGGAAGTTCAAATAAGTTTATTTTTTAATTTTTACCAGGTAAAAATAACTTTTCTCAGAAAGACATTACATTGGCATTTTGTTTGTTTGCTTCAAGTGCTACAAAAGTATTGTGAACTGTTGAAGCCAGTTGTGAATTAGAACTTAGTTTTCGTTTTCTTATCGGCATCTAATGTCTCTAGTATGGTTTGAAAACATAAGTCGTGAGCGTGGCATCTACGGTAAAAGGAAAAACAGTGAACCAGTTTCCTATATTAGAAGGAAAAACATCAGGCACACTCCGGTTTCGCAGATATTTCAGTCATCTAGCTCAGGAACAACTTATCACAGCCCGTATATTGTGGGTAGCAGAAATTTGGCCCCATCAACACAAATATTACACAAGAACACTTTAAATGCCTACATTATTCAAGAGACGGAAATGTTGGCTTTCTTTGATCTTCTTGGTATGACCACTTTTTTTAAATGCCAGGTTATTTATAGAGGATAGCACGATCAAAAAATTCCTGAGTTTTGATTCGTGTTATAGACTGGCAGACAATGTAAGTAACATACATTTGACACTGGTTAAAGTTCTCAATTGCCTGTGTATTTGCTTACTTCAAGAGATGCAACCTAACCATTGAAGAGTACAATAGAATGAACTTTTTCTGTTGCCTGTAAGTGAATGCTTTCTTTCTGAAACTGATAAAGTTTCCTGGTGCATGACATAGAAGAAGATGAAGAGGACTACAAATATGAGATACTTCCTTGGGCTTTGGGATCACTTTGGCGGAATAAGTCGTCTTTTTTTTCTAGACAAAAGGAGGCTCTATGGGCAAGAATGAATTATCGAGCTGTGGTCAGCTATCGATGCTGCACAGAGGTATTTTCTAGATTTCTGGTAATTACGACAAGTTGATGAGTATTTTCCCGTCTCACTCAGTATGGAGTCGAAACCGACTTCCCCATCATGGTGGAGCAATAAGGTACAATATGAATCCACCAAATCCTGATGTCTCCCAAGGTCCAAAATCCCTACCAAGGTATGAAAACTGATGATCTAAGAGATTTGAATTTTCTGTATTTTTCAGGCTTTGTGATGAATGTAAACTGTTTTACTCAAAAGAAGGTATTCCCCAAGACATAATTTTAGACGAAAACCTTTCGGCTACTGATAGTTCACCAAATTTCAATGATTCTGCCTTTCACAGTCATTTTGAAAGTAATAACTTTTCATCACTTTTTTAGTCTCATTGATCAGATGATTCTTCTGGTAATACTTGGGACAAAAGCGATTTATCGACATATACGAGGTCTCATTCTCTGTTTACTTGCGCTGATGAAAGTTGGCTTTCTCAAGAAACATACTGCCACGACAAAGGTAATTTTTTTACGTACATTGAAGTTAGGTTGTTTTTTAAGAGTTATAATGTTATTGATTGTGATTTTGTGTACATCAAGCAGCTTCTGGTTTGTTTGATACATCTGGTTTCACGAGTACTAACAACGGCTGTTATGCAAACAGTTCTGTTGAATATAAAGTCTTAATGAAAAGAGAGTAAGTTGGTCATCAGGAGAAAGCTTTACAATGCTTTTCAACAAAATTAAAATAGTCTCTCTAACTTTTTTCAGCAAGCGATTGAGACCTCCTAGCACTTTTTGAATTTGTTACCTGAACTTGTTAGACTATTGGTTCCTTTTTATCCACAGGTTACCATATCTGTATTGCTACATGTGTGTTTTGACAAATGTACAGTGAGTGAAGACAAACTAAAGCAAAGCCTACAGGTGACCAGTATAACCAATTATGACACTACGCACCATATGTCATGAATAGCAAGTGACTTCTAACAGTACTGAAGTATGTCACACAAACAACATACTATTTTAATTATATCCATTACAGCATCATAAGGACACCCACTTTTTTCCCCGAAGTCATCGTTTTACCATGGATGAGTAAAAGTAGTTAAACGGTAATACAACTCACATAACTCACCAGCACAATGAAAAAATATTATTATGGACTCATGAAGTGATATCCTCGTGCAATAAGATTAAAACCACTTCACTTTACAAGAAAGTTCAATTCAACACATGACTAAAGGAATACACCATTCTCCCATGATACCCTAGTGATCATATTTCACTCTCTGTAGCACAAAAGCCAAATTTATTACCAGATTTGTTACTGTTGTCAAAAGTTATATTGTTGGATAAGAAAATGAGAAGTGTTACTTTGGATAGTTCCTGTAAAAACAAAACCTCATTCTAACTTAAAAGGCAGAAGGAGCTAAAAATGTCACTTACAGTTTTTGAAGGTTGCTTTGAGAAAATGTGTTGGAAGTTTGCATACTTATTGGCGAATAAACAATCGGAAAAGAAACATAGTGAAACTAAACATACATGTAAAACTTCAGTAAGAGTAGAAAGAAGTAATGAAGTTATTCTGACCTGAAATATCTTCAAACGTATCTAAGAATATTTAAAGTATAGAGAGTTTACTGAGTTGTATAAACTTGGTGATGCTCTTTTGGACCAAAACACATATATTACTTGTAAATTTGATATTCATTAGCTTTCTTATTAGGATAGCGTTAGTATTGTTGTATATGGGTAATGACAGCAAACGTTGCAATAAAAGATGGTCTAAATTATTCAGTGACATCAAAACAAGCAATATATATCCTCTAAAATATAAAACGTCCGAAGTAATATGTTTTAACGTATCTGTGCTGATGCAGATGAGCAAAGGATACTGAAAATTAGATTGCACAATCTATAGGACAGAAGCCCGAGCAGTGTGAGACCGTGTAATTATAAGTACTTAGTAAACAGCCTTAAGAGACTTGAGCCAATGTCTTACGACAAATTAAACTAGTTTATTAATATTCTTGATATTTTAAACTGATAGGGTTCCAGTATAACAGAGGGGCACTGCTAAAAAAGGTTGTGGGGGAGATTATAAATTGCGTTCTAATAACGATTCCCGTAAACTTTCAACAGGATTGTATCTTTTGTTTTTAAGTAAAACAGTAATCGTTTGTGAAAAAGAAACTTTACATTTTAATTTGGCTCACATTCATGTTTCTACTTAGTTTTATTTTTTGAAGTTTTTAACTAGCAACAAAGGTGTTTTTCTGTCCATTTTAGTTACCTCTGTCGTCGAGCGCAGATGCGCTTTCTTGGATGAGGAATGAGAAGGACCTGATACAAGAATATGGTCACTCCAAATTTCACCAGTTATTGATCGTGCTGTGTAAAATTTTAATTTTTCAAACCCCGTTGCTTCAAATAATTTGGTTTTTGAACATTTTAAAATTAAAATTTTATTAAATATTCCAGTCATATTTTATAGTAACATCTAGTACTGAGTGAATCCATTTTTGTGTATTTACCCACAAATACTACTTTTAATTATGGGCTTAACTTAACTAGATACCAGTAAGTAACAGTGGCTCTGGTAAACAAGTATCTATCTACTTGAAGGAGCGTGAACAGTGAAACTCGCTTATATTTTAAGCAACGCATAAGCCAAAGTTGATGGAATTTAAGATTTAATCGAATGGAATAATCTAGAAATGACATCACAAAAGGAAGAAAAATGAATTTGTCTTGTTACTGCCTTGTGAAAATATACATTATTGGCGCATAATGCTACACAGGAGTTTCTGAGTGCCAGAAAATGAGAAAAATATGGTAATAATGTAGTGAGAACTAGGTTCATTACAGATATAAACTTTTTTAGCATTAAATTGTGTAATAAACATTAAAGTTCTAACTTAATACGCCCTAAAGTATAAAAGCGATCAAAAATTTACCTACAGTTACATTAGATTAGCAACTTATCAGTTCACAGGAAATCGTTGAGTTACCGACGTCAAAGTTTGCTTTATTTTGTGGGCAGAGAAGATATCCACATCATTTTCACTTCCTGCATTAAAGGAATCTTGAATTACAAATTAGATAAGGTATGGATTGAATCGCGCTTCTTGAAAAGGGAGTAACTTTTCACGTTCAGTTAGATTCTTGGCATCTTTTTGTGTTTATGCATCAAAGGCTACTGTATTTTTCACCCAAACCAAAATATTCTGCGGTTAAAGTGGGACAGAAATTTTTCTGTGTGAATTTCTCCAGTATCTGCTACACAGTTAATCAAAAGAGTCGCAAAAATGCTTGTGGTAGGGTGGGGTGCCACTTCGCAGTAGCCTCTGCTAGACAGTGTACCGAATGTAGGAGTTGGTTCCACTATAACTGCACAAGCCTTACACTCTCAATATGTAAGAGGTATAGCAACTCAAAGAGTGTCTAGCTTCACGTGTTATGATGCTCGGATATTCACGGGCTGGTAGAAGAGGCAAAAAAGCTTCTAAATGTGGCAACGAAGAAGCCAGCATCCAAAAGGAAAATCGATAACTGTGACAGTGATAACGACACAGGATTCATTGACACACAGATCTCTGTGCAAACTTTTAAGAATATCCCACGACAAGCTGTTTGTCGGGTGCGTAAATTACCTACTAGGTTTGTTGACAGCCACTTAAGAAAAAACTACACCAAGTAGGGGGAAGCGAGTATCTTCAGGTTCTCGCATCCCCAGACCTGGCAGATCCAGTCTGAGAACTTCTGACCGTAAGACTAGGTCAGCTTTAGATGAAAGAGACGGAAGTAAGGCACTCTCAGTGCCAATCACGGAACTATGTAGGCTGCACATCCTTCTCAGTTCGTCAACCCAACCAGTGAGAAAAGTTACACAAAGTGGAATGCAAGTTCGTTTTGAGACTATCAGTGTCCAGGTCACTGAACTAGGCTTTAGTAAGCCTTGCATACCCGACTTTGAGAAATGGCAAGTTATCAAGTCTAAGCCTCATGCTGAGAAACCAGTAACGGTCACCAAACCAACTGTCATCACTCCACAGAACAAAGATAAAGTAGAGTTCTATGATAAATCTGTAATCTACCACGGAGTGGAAGAAGCTAAAGACCAAGAACCACGTAACCGTCTCAAGCATGACCTTGGCAAAGTACGAAGTTTGATAAACAAGCTGTCACTAAAAACATTCCAGGAGTCACTCTACTCAAGACATACAGTAAGCAAGAAGGAGACAGTCCCTACTGAAAACAAGTTTGGGCTACTTGACAGAGGAAGAGGATCACATCTGAAGAACGCTCACAGGCTTCAAGGAACGGAAGCGTTCATGCTTAACGATTTGGCTATTTCTGTTCGGGTCAAAAAACGAGGAGCAGAAGAAGAACTGAAACCTAAATGAGCAGCAGCAGAGCAAGATCTGAAGGGTTTTTGTGTACTGAGGTTTCGGCAACAAATGAGGCTGAAGCCTCTATGGACAGGACAGGAACTCATTTAGGTATTTTTATTATTTTATACAGAAGTGCACGTAGTGTCTTAGGTAAGTGGACTGATCTTAGTAGTGGAACAAACGCTGAATGTCCTGACATAATTGCTATCTTAGGAACTTTGCTCTCTTCTGAAATCAGTGACAGAGAAACGAATTTATGAGGATTCGTTCCTTTTAGAAGTGATAGGTTAGCACGCAGAGGTGGTGGTATCATCCTTAACGTTCAGAATACCTTAACTATAAAAGCCATAGAAACGGTTGGACATGAAAGTGGGACTTGAAAATGCTGCGCTGTCAGCTAAAATGTAAAGGTCAAGATGTCAATCTAATCGTGATCTATCAAAGCCCTGAATGTGAGGCAGCAGGTGTCCTCCTGAATAAGCTGACCCTCTTCACAGATAACTGCGGATATCTAGTTGTAGAAGACTTCAACGTACTATCAGTTGACTGGGATAGACTAACAACAGAAGCATTGCTTAACTCGTTTGGTCACGGGTTAGTGGAAACAACAGTTTCCATGGTTCTTCTACAACACACTAGAACAGAAACTAGATATGATCATCAGCATGCTCCTTCAGTCCTAGGCTTAGTATTCCCGTATACAGATGATATGTGCTTCGTCCGGCACCTTGAGTCCCTTTGTGAAAGTGATCATACTGTGGTCATCTTCAGATTCACAGCAGCCGTCTTGAACCAGGTAGATACCCCTGCTAGACACACAGTATAGAAATCGAATGTAATCATTATTATTTATTATTTGTCCCTTGGGTTCCTTTCTGGTGAAACATAGGGCCTCAGTATGTATCACGTCTCCACTCCACTCTCTTCTCTGAAATCTTTCAACCTGGCTCCATGGCAGCCCAGTAGCTCTCATTTCCTCCTCGCACGGTCTCCTCCACGTCACCCTTGCCTCAGATGCCCAACTCGTCGCTTCCCATCAGGGTTCCACTCGACACCCTGGCCTGGTCTGGCGCATGATGTCCCCAGTCGGCCTTCTCAGTGTATGCCCATTCCAATGCATCTCCACTTCCTTCCACTACATATTTGTTGACCGACAGGTTCTTGGTTGGTTCGTTCCCAGAGTTCCTTGTTGCTTATTCTTTCCGGCCATCTGATCTTCAGTAGCGAGCGTAGGCAGTTGTTGATGAATGTCTGTAGTTTGTTGGAAGTGCCTTTCATGAAGCACCAAGTCTCTGAGCTATACAGAAGTACTGGCTTGACGTTGGTGTTGAAAATCCGCATCTTTTTCACGCTTTATGCTGAGTGCAGAAGATCTCCACACTGGTTTCAGGTTAATCAACACCTGCCTTGCTATCTTTTCCGATTCTGACTTCGACGTCCTCATCTGTGCCGCCTGTAGTTGAAACAGTTGTGCTTCCTAGATAGGTGAAGGTGGCTACTTCCTTTAAGTTTCTCCCATTGATGGTGATTCGAGCTTGTTGTTATTGTTGGTGGTGGTGAGGGCGTTGGTTGGGTATCTTCATCACCTCCGTCTTCTCTATATTCACCTGAAGTCCCATCTTCGCAGCCTTACCTCTTCTGACAACTTGTTAGTCTTCGCCTGTACATCTTCAAGTTTGTGTGACACCAAACACAAGTCATCGGCGAAATCCAGATCTTCTAGGTTCTTTGCCGCAGTCCAGCGTATCCCTCTCTTCTCGCTCCCCACTGTTTGCTGCATGATCCAGTCCAGTAGATCACAATCAGGAATATCATGGGTGATAGTAGGCAACCTTGTTTCACTCCTGTCTTCACTTCAAAAGCATCACTGAGCTTCCCATTGTGAATTACTTGGCTGGCATGTGGCGCCTTCATGCAGTTGTTGAATGAGGCTGATAAAGGTTTGCGGTACTGCGTAGTAATAAAGCAGTTTCCAAATTACCTCTCGGTCGACTCTGTCAAAGGACTTCTCAAAGTCGATAAAGTCGAGGTAGATAGTTGACTGCCATTCTATACTCTGTTCTATGATCATGCGTAGTGTGGCGTTGCAGTTTGGTCTGCACATGATTTGTACTTCCTGAATCCAGCCAGCCTACCTGTTCCGGTAGTAATTTTGAATCCAGTGCATCCTTCAGCCTCTCCAGGATGATGCGACTTAATATTTGGCTTGCACTGGGTGGACAGGAGAGTGATTCCGCGCCAGCTCTTGCAAACACTGAGGTCTCCCTTCTTCGGCATTTTGACAAGGTAACCCTTCTTCCAATCAATAGACAGGTACCTTCCCTTCCTTCCACACCTTCTGCAATAGTGGTGTGAGCATGTCCGCCGCTGTTGTCTCTGTGTCTGTTTTCAGTGATTCTGGTGGGATCTCATCTGGTCCTGCTGCTTTCCCACATTTCAGCAACTTTATGGCGTTCAGGACTTCCACTTTTGTTGGAGGATTTATATTCACTTGTAGTTCAGCGGCTGGGTTGCTGGTGGTATTTCTGGACGAAGTGCAGGTGGTGGTGGTGGTGGTGGTCGATTGAAGAGCTTCTTGAAGTGGCCAGTACATCGTTTCCTTTGTTTCTCTGCTTTCTTGATTAAATTTCCGTCATCATCTTTTATTGGTTTCATCTATGTTGATCTCTTCCCTTCCAGATAGTAACCTGGTTATTTGATACAATGTTGTCAGGACACTGTCTCTCCTACCTGCAGCCTGTTCTGCTTCACTTGCCAGTGTTTCGTAGAAGTGTCTTTTGTCTTTGCGTGCACTCTTCTTCACTTTTTTGTCCAGTGTAGTGTTTTATACATTGTGCTCAGTTTCTCTTGTCGTTGAGCGTCCTTGCACTGGTTTATCTTCTGCTTCACCATCCTCCTCTCCCTGCTCTATCAGCTTCCACGTATCCATCGAGATCCATTCCCTGTCCTATCTTCTTTCTTCTTCCTTCCTAATACTGTTGTGCAGGTTTCTTTCCACATAGCTTTCAAAGACTTCCAGTGTTCTTCCACACAGGTTTCTTCAGGGATGTTGCTGGATATCTCCCATTTTGTCTTGATGG